CAATGTTAAACGTCTAAGAAAACAGGCACTCAGATGTACATATTTTAAATCAAATATTCTCAAAGATGTTCCTATGCTTATACAAACTTTTATGCTCTGTGTTAAAGTCAAAACAGGTGGCAAAGTTTAATGTCACGTGTTTGAAAAGCAAAGTTCATTTTCAAAAGGCTTCAGTGACCAGTACTCAGATGCCTGTCCTTGTCGTCAGCAACAATCACTGAGTATCGGTGTCACTGTTTGTGAATGAATAAGTGTGGTCTTTACAAGGTCACTGAAAGCCTGAGATTCCTTGGCAGTGGTGGCAGGAGGGGAAACCATTCCCAGCTGAACTGCAGGGAAGCACCTCCACATTTTATGTAGATCTGAACCCCTTTTTAGGTCTTGATGTCCCATTTTGCTGTAGCTCTAGGCTCTCTTCCCCAGGGTTTTAGAGGAGGACCTGCCCTGAAGATAAGCCCTTTCATGGGCTTTTATTTTAGAAAGACTTCCATGAAAAAAAATTTGTTTGAGGGGAGGAGAAATTGGAACAACTCACTTAGAGGGAAAAAAGGGGGACGCGCAGGAGGTTGACTCCATGGGAGATATTTGTTGTAGAGTAAGAAGTACTGAGTTCTTATGGCAGAGCGCTGTGAGCTCAGCCACCAGGGCCACACCACACAGCTATCTCGATGTATATGTGTATGTGTGTGTGCATGTCTGTGCATGTATATGTGTGTGTATATACATATATAAAAATATATACATATATGCATATAAAAATGACATTCTATCACCTTGGAAACCACCCCCAAAATTGGGGGCAGATCTTGGAAGAAAATTAAGCCTCCAGGAGAGCTGACCACTTTCAAATGGAATGAAACAGAATGGAAGATAACTGTTAAGAAGAATAAGGTAGAGGTACACGAGGGCTATCTGGAAAGTATCCAGCCTCACACTGTGAAAAATAACAGACATACAAGGCCGGATACTTCCCAGGCAGCCCTCATACGTCCTGACCATCTAAATAGACTATGGCAGGGACAAGGTAAGCTTACTCTGTACATGGTATGCTCTCAATTTTGGCTTAAAAAGTGCATATGTAAGCATATACATATATGGGGTGTCCATAAAGTTCATGTGCCATTTAAACTAGTTGTCTGTTACGGACACCCTGTATATGTACACCCCCAAATCAATAGTATTTTACCTTTGATAACATTTTACTTCTAGAGGGTGCTAACCGTGATACATGTTTACTTTCTATTTTATAGATTTTGGCATTGATTTACTTTTCAATAACAGTTGTTTTTTTTTTTTTTAAATAATGCTTGTTTTTCCACTCTTTTTATTTTATTTTATTTTATTTTATTTTGAATGGTAACTATGTACATTAATGCACTTCTGGGGTACAGGGTGGGGTTTTCACATGCAATCCAAACTACTTCCATCAAACTGGTCAACACAGCCTTCATGTCATTTTCTCAGTTATTGTTTTAAAACGTTCACATTTTACTCTTAGAAAGATTCACTTGTACCCCTATAAGATAAACCTCAGAAGTGATCCCTCCAAACCCCCTCCCTCTACCCATTTCCCCCTCCCTTCTCCCTCCCTCCTCCCCATATTCTTAGGCTATTTGGTTATAGCTTTCATATAAAAGGTATAAATTAGTTTCATAATAGGGGTGTGTACATTGGATACTTTTTCCTCCATTCTTGTGATACTTTGCTCAGAAGAACATTCTCCAGCTCCATCCATGTGAACATGAAGGATGTAAAGTCTCCATCCTTCTTAAGTTTTTCCACTCTTTTAAATTTCTACAGTGCAGAATGTGTGTTTCAAGAGGCAGGTTGCTCTGGGGAAAGTCATCCCAAGCACCTCCCTGCCCAGCACACAGGACAGTTTTGAGCATCTTAGGGGGCAGTGTGTGTTAATATACAGTGTCAGTTGTAAAACGCTGGGCAAATGCAAAATATTTTCTTCCAAGTCTATTGTAAGATCAGGACGGTACTTTTTATGATTAGGCTTCCCTAAAGACTTTCTATACGATACTAACACATGGTTAAGCTTTCAATAAACACTTATGCATTGACTATTGTCCTAGCACTCTGGGAGGCCAAGGCAGGTGGACTGCTTGAGTTCAGGAGTTTGAGACCAGTCCAAACCAGAGACAGATGCTGTCTCTAAAAAAGCAGCTGAGTATTGTGGTGGACACCTGTAGTCCCAGCTACTCAGGAGTTCTGAGGCAAGAGGATCACTTAAGCCCAAGAGTTTGAGGTTGCTGTAAGCTATGATGCCACGGTGAGTGTGACAAAGTGAGAGTCTGTCTCAAAAAAAAAAAAAAAGTTAGGCATTGATTGAGAAGATATAGTAAAGGGAGAATCTGGCTGAAGGAGCATGTCAAGATGACACAAGAATGGCATTTACAGACAAGATGCAGAATGGCTCACCCCATAGAACTTCAAGAAAACGAGAAACAATTATTCTCCAGGGATGGCTCAGCTTTTCATCTGCCTGAGGTCCTGGACAAGGCAGTCCCCTGAGAAAGTGAGATGGCAGTAAAACTGTTATGAAACAATGGAGACAGGGTCGTTAGGAGGTGAGAGATGGGGAACCCAGCCTGCCGGGTCCCACCATTGGTGTACAGAGCCTTACACGGAGTCTCGAAAAGGAAAGAAAACCATGAGCTTCCCTGAGAACACGCCTGCTCCTATCTCCCAGTTCAATATTTTTCCATCATAGCCTAATGAGAGTCAAGCCAACGGTATTTTTTAAAAATGGTGGCCAAGTCTTCACATGGAGAGGATATGGTCCAGGTGAGATAATCCTCCTCAATAATCTTCTCAGAGCAGATTCTGAGAAAAGAGGAGATGAAGGAAAGTGATGAGCTTGCAGGAATACAGGTTCCTATAGTCCATGGTCCACAGTGAAAGCCTTGATTCCATGAGTGGAAATGCAGGCCCCAGAGTAGGAGCCTCCTCACAGCTCTCAGGTCAAATTCTCCTGATGCCAGAGCAGGGGCTTCCTGGTCACGCTGGACGTGACCAGGCTTCCCCACCTGTCATAAATCAGCCTCTCTGCCGCATCCTGGCAGCTACCTGGGAACCAAGGACAATGACATTCATAAAGCACAATCCAGCGGCCTCCTCCGTGGGCTTCCTGCTTGCATCTGGTATCAGAGTTTCACTTTGAGGTCCTAAGGTCACACTCAGATCCCAGATTATTTGACCTGAAATGTGACTATATTAATGAACCTTTCTGTGGTTGTCTTGTGTTTTCTATCCAACCCTGGGGAGACAAACATCATGTAGCGACACCCTGGGTAACTGCCTGGGTTTGTTAGAGAAAAACCAAGGAGTGCTTTGCCTTATTGCCACTTATACATTCTTACCAAACTCCTCACTCTCATGGCTTAAGCTCTAACATGCTGTGTGGGTTTAGACATCTTGCAAAGAGCTTAGGAGGTCTGGAGTCAGATCTGGATTCAAATCCAACTTCTTCCACATATTAACCATATACCTTAGGCAGGTTACTTAAACCGTGTGCACCAGTGTTGTGGTCTACACAATGGAAATAGCAACACCTTCTTCCAAGGATTATCCTGAAGATTAAATGAGTTATTACAAGTAAAGCACTTAGAACAGTAGGTGGGATAGTAAGCTTTCTGCAGGTGTTAGTTGTCACTGTGATTCTTTTGAGAAGTAGCCTAGGGAATCAGAAGCCTTACCCTAGCTCTACCACTTACCTGCTTTGTGACTTTGGACCTATGAAGCCCAAGTATTAAAATATTGATAATGGCTGCTGTGCCCATCCCACAGAGGTACAATGAGGTTCAAGTGAGTTAATAGATAAGAAAATGCTTCATAAGCCATTAAAACAAAACTGTGCAGTTGTAGGGTAATGAATGTCCTCTCTTTCCCCCTGTACCTGTAAGATTGCACACACTTTGTGTTCTAGTTACCTTTTGTCTTCTATTCAGTTTGAGGTCCTTGAGGCAGGAATCACACTTGTTTTCTCCTCTATCAGCCATGATGTCTAGTGTGATGCCTGTACATGGTATGTCCTCAGTAAATGGGAATTGTGTGTTTCCTGGTCTGTGCCCCAGTAGCTTTGAGGAGGGCACACCTGTGAGTAGCACCTCCCTGCAGGCATCCAGGCCCAGAGCTGGGCACCTGTATGCAGACGCTAACTCTGGGGACATGCTGCATTATGTGCTGATCCCTGAGGCTCAGCCAGCAGACTTCTGCCACTTGTGAGGTTTCTGATTGAGTTCCCTGCTCTTGGGGACACTGTCATTACCAGTTTAGTTCATTAGATGGTCCAAACTAGGGAAACTGAGAAATTGAACGGTGGCATTTTGAGTGTCCTCCAGGCCTTGTTTTCTTTTTCCCCAACATGCTATCTTGGGTTTGGGACCCCTGCTCCCAGCTCCCATATCTTTAATGGGGTGGAAGGGTGGGAGGCCTCAGGATGCCGTCTGCCTATGGTGTGATAGATCTCTGTATCCTCCAAGGAACCCACCTACTGCTGCACACAGAGAATGCACAGGAATTTAAAGAACTAAGAAAACCAAAATGAGCAGACTCAACAACAAGAGATTAATTGCCCAGGAGTCAGCGGACTGCATGACTGAAGCTGGATATTTTAGAAACCAGTGGCTGCCTTCACATTTCCTGGTGGAAGTGGGACAGGTCAACAGACAACCCAGGGTCACAGATAACTTTTGCCCACACATCATTCACTTTTGGGAGCGTTGGCTTGAAATTGAGGGGTGTGTGTGTCTGGAACCGACGTGCCTTCCGTGCGCCTCAGAGGTCTGCACTTTCTTCAAATGGGCTGATTACAACACAGAGGATGTGGACAGTGGACTTCTTCCTGTTCGATGTCACACTGCTACCCTTTAAAAGTCCAGGGGTGAAAAAGGAGGGAATCCAGCCTAGGATCCTCGGCCGGCTACTTGCAAGGAAGAAGGAAAGGCCAGCAAGACCGGGCCTGCGGAGGGAGTGTCTGGTTTCAGTCTCAGCACCAACCATTCAGAGAGCAGCGTGATGCTGGGGACCTGCCTCAGGCTCTGGGTCTGTGCCCTGTGCAGTGTTTGCAGCGTGAGCATTGTCAGAGCCTATCCCAACGCCTCCCCACTGCTCAGCTCCAGCTGGGGTGGCCTGACCCACCTGTACACGGCCTCGGCCAGAAACAGCTACCACCTGCAGATCCACAAGGATGGCCATGTGGACGGCACACCCCACCAGACCATCTACAGTGAGTAGGGGCTTCAGGCTGGGAAGGAGGGGGACTTCCCTGCTGCCCATCTACATGGGGACTGGGGAGGCTTGGGGTAGACCAGAAGCCTAATCCACTCCCTAGCTCCCTGCTCAGGAGCCACTCATTCTGTGTGTATGTATGTATGTATGTATGTATGTGTGTATGTTTACTCCTTAGGGGAAGACTCTGTGACACCTTCCCCATTAGGGGTTTCTCTCAGCATGCATAATTTCCACCTCAACTAAAAGCATTCTTCCCACAGTAGGAACCTCTTTCCCTTTAACCTGTTCAAGGATTCAGATAAGATACAGAAAGGAAGGCAAGGAGCCTAAACGGAAAAGAAGCCAGGTAGAACAATAGACTGGGTTCTAGCTCATAAACTTTAGACTGCTTAACCAAGGAGATTGTAAAGAAGATTCCTTTATCCTGCTAAGAATGAACTTAAGGGCTCTTTCCAACTCTGAGCTTCTAGCCTTGTAAAAATTCTCGGGAAGATCATATTAGAGACACCAGCTTGGTGTGCTGTTAGGGTGGGTCTGACCACTTGGTGCACAATCCACCCACCACTCATCTGTTCGTGCATCCATCCCTCAGTCCAACAGGTTTACTGGGTGCTTCAGAGGTGGGACTTGATGTTTCTTCTCTATGACACTGACTGAGAGGTGTCCAATCCGTAGCAAGTTGACCTCGTTGGGAACTCTTGGGCAACATGAGACAACCGGCATGTTTTTAAAGACTAGGTCTGTGGAGAGTTGGATCACAATTCACAATAGTCAATCTATTAGCACTGATTTGAATGAGGTCCCCTTGGTGTGCTCCTATATAAGGGATAGTGAGGTGGGACGGAGAGGGTGGATATTGAAAAAGTCAGGGCTTTATATTTTAGAAAAGTATATAAAAATTGCTCTACGGATACAGACAAATGCAAACTGAGTCAATATATTTCAAATGAAAGGAATGAAAAAAGTAATTACAATCTCTAACTAAAGATAACATCTTAGGGGAATGATGATTTGTTCTTTCTTGTTGTAAAGCAAGAATCAATTATTTTGCTGTGGTCAAGGCCCTCATTCTTCTAGGAATCAAAGGTGCTTAAACTTGTTGGCAAGATATACATGCATATACAAAACCAATGGTTTATAGGATGTTGACAGAAGATGAAAAGACAGAGAAAAATGACCTCTAAATATCCCAGGTTCCAGAATTTAAGGGAATAGGGTAGGATTTAGGAGTCGACACCTTGAAAGTCAAGTTTGATTCTGATGGCAAAAATCTGAAATCACCTAGGTATACTTGGTACATCCAAAGTGTTGCTCATTTCATTCAATAGATATTTAATAGGACCTATAATGTGGCTGTCATTATACCAAGCTCTGTGACTGAAAAGGAAGACACAGCTCTTAAAGGACTTCATAGTCTGACATTCCTTCTTTTCACCCAGATTTTTTGGGAAATATAATTTAGCACTTGTCATGGAAGGCCACTCTTACCTCCACTGCAAGATTATATGTGATTTAAAATGAGGTATAAGGCTGGGTACAGTGGCTCATACCTGTAATCCCAGCACTCTGGGAGGATGAAGCCGGTGGATAGCTTAAGCTCAGGAGTTTGAGACCAACCTGAGCAAGAGCGAGACTCTGTCTCTAAAAAAATAGCCAGGCATTGTGGCAGATACCTGTAGTCCCAACTACTCAGGAAGCTGAGGCAAGAGGATTACTTTGGCCCAAGAGTACCTAGGGCAAAAAAGTGAGACTCTGTCTCAAAAAAAATAAATAGAAAAATTAGGTATGGTATTGGGCACCTGTAGTCCCAGCTACCAGGGAGGCTGAGGCAGGAGGATCACTTGAACCCAAGACTCTGAGGTTGCTGTGAGCTAAGATGATGCCACTGCATTCTACCCAAGACAACAGAGGGATGCTCTGTCTCAAAAAATAATAATAATATTCATAATAATGATAATATACATAAATAATGAAATGCAGGATAGCAGATTATGGTGAATAATTCGATTCCCACTGATGGAAAGGGCTGCATACAACTAGAGAATGTTTACACATCTTGCCTAGAATCATAGGATTCATTTGCTGAAAGGCACTCTCCAAAGACGTGTCCTTCTGAACAAGTAGCACGGAGCAGGGTGGCTATGGTGGGCAGGGAGTATGTGGAGCCCAGCCTCCTGGGACAGCATACAAATTGTAGCTCTTTTCCCCCAAGTGCCCACCTGGCATCAGGCCCAGAGGAGTTCACTGAGTGCTAAGCGTTGTTTTTGAAAAGCTAAATGCTAACATGGTGGGGAGGAAACTCAGGGTCAAGGTAGAGGATGGGAGATCTACTTTCCTCAGTTTATGTGATCTTTTGTACTGTTCAATCAGTTATGTATATTATCCCAAAAAAAGATCAAGGGGAAATTATACATTAAGATCAAAAGGAAAGAGGAAACATGAGCACAGGTAGATAGGAAGAACAACTAATTAAAAGTTTGGTGAAGGACTTATAATTGTCTCATCAATGAATGGAAAGCAATGCTTTTACACTGATGGGAACACGGGGGTGGGGGAGTTCCCTCCGAATTAGTTATACATTTCCAGTGAAATCTGCTCTGGTTGATTATTTTGCTGTAGTAAATTCTTTCTTTTTTCTTATCAAACTTCTTTTTATTTAAAATTAACATGCTTATTTTTTCTTGTTGGGGGGGAATTCCTTGAGGGTACAGCTATAGTAAATTCTTGATTACAAGTCACATGCACAACCCATCCTCAGGTCATTCACCTAACCAAATGAAATCATCTGCCTATACGATTCCACAGGCTCCCTTCAGACACACAGCGCTGCTGTCGGGGAGCCTCCCCAGTGTCTGTGTCACCTGTTCTGCTTTGTAGAGGCCATGCTCTCACTCCCCCTTACCCTTGCTTACAGAAACAGCAAAAGAGATACTTCTCACCTGTGGGAAATATCACTTCCCCAAACCTGATGGTTTATCTTCTTCTACCTTCTCCATTGGAATTTCCTTGACTTGAAGCTGAGTTACCCTGGGGCTCTCTAACCCTTCTTCCTAATATCTTTCTTTTGAGGAGCTCAAGGCACTTCTGTCATCTCATTTATCATTCACTGTCCATGAGAACAGGACAAGGCAGATGATTTTCTGCTGTCACAAGAGGTTGAGCTGAAGTGGTAATTGGGGAAACTATTCTCACTTGGGAAGTGCTTTGTAGTGGATAAAAACATTATTTCATTACATCCTCAAGACATCAAAATGAGGTAAATGATTCTGCTGTCCCCATTTTACATAGGAAAAAAACAAAGGTTAAAGAACCAAGGTAGTAGGAGCACGCAGCTAGTCAGGGACCTACAAGACATCTTGACCCCAAATCTCATGCAAGGAGATTGCGTGATCATGTGAGATCACGTGCAAGGAGACGTCTCTGGCACGGACAGCAAAGTCCTTTAAGCCTGCTCCCTGCCCTGCTCCAACAGGTAGCACGGAGCATGGGTGGCTACAGCAGCCAGTGATTTGTTCCTTCCTTCTACCAAATTCTCCCCCCCCCCCCCCCCCCCCCCCCCCCCCCCCCCCCCCCCCCCCCCCCCCCCCCCCCCCCTTTTTCTCCCCCCGCCCAATCTGTGCAGACTGAAAAAAGGTGCTTGCTGAAAACCCGAAGGGAAGAAAGCCGCCTCTCCTCCAGGCTCTAAACTTTCCTGCTGGCTCCTGTAGGTTTGATGCGAGAGCCTGTGTGCCCTCCATCGCAGCTGCTCACTGGTCCTCAACTGCTGCAGGTTGTTTCCTGTCGGGACCAGCCCTGGAGAGCAAGAGTCGTGTCCCATGCACACTGCCCACCCTGCCGACTCTGGCCATAGCCTCAGGCCAGCACAACTGTCAAAAAGCATGGGCTCAACTTGAACGGCAGGGGAGAGCACACTACCCGGTGTTGTCTTCGCTCGACATTTCCAAGTCACTTTGCGACCGTTATCCTGTCTGATTCTTACTGTCCCCCTAAGAGAGTAGGCAGGACAGCTATTATCCTCATTTCACAGATGAGGAAACTACAACCACAGGAAGGATTTTTAAATCACAAAAGCAGAAACTTGGAAGAATGTATCCACCAGGGCAAACATTAAAAGATATTAGCCAGTCCGGGTAAGAGAGAGACATGTGCACGGCACAGGTAAAGGAATGCCCAGAGTGCAGAGTGCTCCCTACCAGCAAGGGGAGGATGAAGCAGGAGGTGAACCAGTGTGTGTGTGCGGTTGTCAGAGGAAATGAGGCTGAACAAGTAGAAGGTGAGAGTTATGTGAAGTCACCACCCCTTAACTCAATCCTGGGAGGTTTCAGGAATGTGGGTTTGGGGGAAGTGCCTGAAGGTAGAAATTGGATATGGAAGGAGTTTTTTGTTTTTCCCATAGGCGCCCTAATGATCAGGTCAGAGGATGCTGGCTTCGTGGTGATTACAGGCGTGATGAGCAGAAGATACCTCTGTATGGATTTCAAAGGCAACATTTTTGGATCAGTGAGTGTCTTTTTTGTCTGGGTCACCATTCGCAAACAATTATCTCATTTCCTTGACACAATCTGGACTTCTCTAGCTTAAAGGTAGCATTGGCAGTGTACCCTGGTGATCTGTTTTCATGAGTACTTTGTTCAGGTTTACACAGCGAAGGTGTGAGCCCGGGCAGTCTGGTTCTAGAGTCTGGCCTTGGTCTGTACGGCCTGTTGGTACCCATTCCCATATCTAGCCCAGGCCTTGGTATGCAGTTGTAGGTCCTCAAATCATGTAAATTCACATTGTAAAATACGTTAGAAAGGGTGAGAAGCCACTAGTTTCTTCTTGATTATGTGACTAGCTGTCCCCTTAAGCAAGTCCCCTCATTTTACCAGACTTAAGTTGCTTCTCTGGGGGGAAAAAAAATGAAGTGGAAGAAATGGCATGGCCAGTGAAGTTCCCCCCAGTGACAGATTTTTATTTAATTACCTCTACCCCGATTGTGAGAGCTGGTCATTCAGACTGGTAAGCAAAAAGTTTCCCAAACTAAAAGGCTGTGGCCATATTCCAGGGGACTGAGATAGTAAAACAGTAGGAGTGCTTACCCTGGAGTCTCTTACCGCTGGGCATTCCCACTAGGAATTTCTCAAGAGCAGAGACTTTCTGGTTTGAGTTACTGCTATGTCCCAGCATCTGCCATAGTGTCTGGCTTAGAATGGATAAATCTCTGTTGAACAAACACTGACATATAGATAATTAAATAAACATCTGTTGGACACATCTAGGCGTATAGATAGGCCGCACTTCATGGAGTTTGAGGTTTAAATGAAATAATAGGTACAGGCCTTCGGAGGCCCTGGATAAACTGGCAATACAGCGAGAATTCAAACCCAACTCCTCTCTCTCAAGTCAGTCCCCAACAAACACCATCCCGTCTCCTTTCTCCAGGAGAGGAGACAACTCCAGGCCAACTTTCAGCCAGAAGAGGGTTGGAAAAGGTAGAGAGAGGGAAGGGAGATCCCCGAGATGCCCAGGTGTGGGGCCGCCGGGTCTCCAGGCCCAGGAAGGTGGGGGTGCGTTTGGTGCTTGGGCAACTCATACCTTGAAACCACTTCCCCCTAGAAAGGAACGATGGGGTGACAGCGCAGCGCGTGTCCACCCCAGGGCCCCAGGCTAGTGGCCAGGGCGCCAGGCCCCGGGGAGGGGCCGCAGCCAGGCTTCACGCCCCGCTCTTGCCCTCCGCAGCACTCCTTCCACCCCGAGAGCTGCAGGTTCAGACACCGGACTCTGGAGAACGGCTATGACGTCTACCTCTCGCCGCAGCATCACTTCTTGGTCAGCCTGGGCCGCTCCAAGAGGCCCTTCCTGCCGGGCATGAACCCGCCCCCCTTCTCCCAGTTCCTGTCGCGGAGGAACGACATCCCGCTCATTCACTTCAACACCCCCCGCCCGCGGAGACACACCCGCAGCGCCGAGGACAACGACTCGGAGCTCGACCCCCTGAACGTGCTGAAGCCGCGGCCCCGGGCCACCCCGGGCCCCGCCTCCTGCTCGCAGGAGCTCCCCAGCGCCGAGGACAACAGCCTGGTGGCCAGCGACCCTTTAGGGGTGGTCCGGGGCAACAGGGTGAACGCTCACGCCGGGAGGGCCGGCCTGGACAGGTGCCGCCCCTTCCCCAGGTATTTCTAGAGGCCGGAAAGGAACCCTCTTCAACCAGCCTTCCAGCTACGCAAACTGTCTTTCCAGGGACCAGCTCTCTGCACATCCAGCCTGGGGAAGGGGGGTGATGTATGGAGTTAGAGGCTCCTCTCTAACGCCCTTCCTCAGGAGGTCCCCAGAGAATTGACTTTCGGGGCCTGAGTAACGCGGTTTCACCGCCTTCCGCACCCCGCCTAACCACCTTTCTGAATGAGAAAGCCAGCATGTAAACTAGCAGCGTCCGAAGGCGGGGATCCCCCACCCCAGCGCCGCAGCGCTCTGCTGTACGCCTCTCTTTCTCAGTTTGGCACGAAGCGAAAGTATAATGGATTTGGGAGCTCACTGCTCGGAAGGCGTGGGGAAGAGGCAGCCCCAGAAGCCTCCCCACTGCCCCCTGCGCTTATGGTCCCTGCCGGATCCAGTCGGCATATGAGTTTGCCCCCTTGACATTAACAGCCAACAGGGCAAGCTGATGAGGACACTAATTTTAAGCCTTTTTTCTTCCTTGAACATGTCTGGGGAAGAGCTGTCAACAAAGATTGGTGGCAGGTAGTCAAAACCAGACACCTAGAATGCTGGTGAACGGGACGAAGCCGGCAGGAGCCCTCGCCCTGGCCACTGGGCAGACGCCTCCGCCTGGCTCTCTCCCGCCATGCAGGGGACCGCGGGGCCAGAATGGCGGCTCTGTTCCCAAGGGGCTCGGGACGCAGTCTTGCCTGTTGACCCCATTTTTGGTTTTACTGAATTTGGCCCAAGGAATAGCTTTCATATCAGCTTATGATGATCTACCCTGCTAGGATTTGTTTTTCAAAATGGAAATAAGTTCAAACTCTCCAAAGAGGCATTTAATTAAGCCTCTACTTTAAGGTTGAGAAGTTATCCATTCTGGATAACGTACACAAATGTGACCGAGAGAGGACCTTGAGACACAGGGGCTGCTCTGGTTAGATTTTCTGTGGACTGAAAAATTGTATCCTTTTTTCCTAAGTGAATTAACATCGAGGAGTCAGGGGGGAAAGCAGCTCACCAACCGGGGACAAGCTGTATGAGTTAAGAGAAGAATGCTGTCAGGCTTTTGACCATGGTCTCCTTAAGTGCTCTGCAGCAAGTGGCTATAGGATTAGTTAAAACACTGGTAGGCTGGCACATCTGTGTGAATTTCCACTTAGAAATTGTTCAGGCATTAAATGTGGACAGCCTTCAGACCCAGGAGCCCTTGCTACCCTGCAGGAAACAAAGTCTCACTTTCACAGCTGAGAAGGTCAGGGAGGTAGGTGGGACTGATTGATGCAGCCCTCAACCCAGCCATACCTGTGACTGCCATGCGTCCTGCAAGGGGGCCACATTTTCCTACCTCTATTTAAATAACCACCTAAACAGCAGGATATTAACATGCAAAGTAGATTCAAGCAATGCTTCCTTCCAGTCACCTATTTTTTTTAAATAGCCATCATGTAGCCAACCTTAGAAATTGATCTATTCTTTTTAGTTATCAGGAAAACACTGAACAAGGTTATAAGCTGAACCTGAAGGTCAGTCCCTGTTCTGAAACAGTAAAGCTATGCATAACAGTTTATAGCCATACATGGCAAATATTTTTCATTTTCTGTTGGGGATATTATCCTGTATAATCGCTATTGGAGGTTCCTCAATGTTGTTAACTAGATAAAAAAAGTCCCAAAAGGACGTTGTTAGAAAACTGGTTGTAACCTCACAAACTCAACACCAATATAGGGGTTTTCTTTTTAACAGAGCCAAGGGAGCCCCCACAATTCCTTATGTCCCTTAGCATGTGGCAATATTTATTTATTTATTTGAAATATTTTGCCTATCATTCTATATTTATAGAGATGCATAAAAATGTAACCCCACCTTCTTCCTTTCTTTTTCAAAGAAAAATAAAATTTATTTCAGCTTCCATTAGCTTCTCTTTTCTGTACTGCTACGGAAAAACACGTCAGAATATGAGAATAAAAGGGATTTGGGGAGAGGAACATTTAGGAAACTATAGAGAAGGCAAAATTGAAAAAAAAATCAAAAGTTTAAAATATTCTAAGGTTTCTTTCATTCATAAGCAGACTCAACAAAGAATTTTAATTCGTCCTGACTGAATTATCACAACCAAGGAATTTCTTATCCATATTGGATTTCTGATCACTCTAGCCCTAACATATTTCCTTTAAAGAGAGAAATTTTTTTTTTTTGAGACAGAGTCTTCAAGCTATTTCCCTGGGTAGAGTGCCGTGGCATCACAGCTCACAGCAACCTCAAACTCCTGGGCTTCAGCAATTCTTTTGCCTCAGTCTCCCAAGCAGCTGGGCCTACAAGCGCCCACTACAACACCCGGCCATTTTTTGGTTGTAGTTGTCATTGTTGTTTAGCAGGCCCAGGCTGGATTCAAACCTGCCAGCTCCGGTGTATGTGGCTGGTGCTCTAGCCGCTTGAGCTACAGGTGCCAAGCCAAAAGAGAGAAATATTTTTATTTGAAAATACACATTCAGGCAACCACATCAATATTTTAGTAAACTAGACGTTATGTACTTATCACATACAATATATCTGCCCTCTAAACCTTCATAGCAGAACACCAAGATAATAAAACCTACATGCTTTCTCTTTCTGAGGCTGGTATTCTCAGAATTCCTTCTGTAATCTCCATAGGGCTGCCAAAACACAGGAAGCAAAGATGCTTATTATGCATTTATGTTTCTCTGTATTCAAATTCCCATCAGCTCATGTCTATAATTAGTTTTTTATTACCTGACTTTAGTCATCAGCTTCTCCCTTTTAACAATTGATATAAGAGAACTTAGTATAGAATTCAACATTCTGATTATTGTTCCCTTTGTAGAAAGGGAATGTGTATTTCCTTTTTAAGAGTCTGGACATCAAAATCCCCCACAGTATAGAGAAGGGTAAGGATAGCCATCAGGATACATCTAGGAGCACAGGTCAGAATGCTTTATTTCTTTGATCACACAAAAGAGACTTACCAAGGGTATTTTTTTAGGTTTATAATTCAGAAACGAAAGGCAGAAGCCACCAGTGATTCTTAATTTTGCTTCTGGTCCACAGGACCTGATAACTCACAGAGATGGAGCAGCAATAAAATAATCCCTGGGGATAAACAGGCCTTCATTCTGTTATGGAAGGAAGATTAAACATCAAAGGGGGGAAAAGATGTACTATGAATTATTTCCCTTCCATAGGCTGGAAGAGTTCCTTTCTTTTTCCATAAAACTCCTCCCTGACTAAAGAAAAGAAAACTAAAGCTTTTAACATCCCCCACATACATACACAAAAGGAAGTAAGGATGGGAGAGGGTAAGGGAAGAAAATGTGAATATATTTGTGTGCATGCACGTGTGGGGGTGTGTGTGTGTGTGGGTGTGTAGTCGATTTAATGATACATTGTATGCATGTGGCTGCTAGATGCTTCAGTGACCTAACCAGGACAGGGCTTCGAATAAAACCCAGCCTTTATCTTATCTACATAATTATAAATCCCTGCTGAACAAAGATATCACTGTAACACTTACATGTAGAGATAGTTACTGTCTATACAGAACTTTTCTATAATTTAACTCATTTAACACTTAAAATCACATGGTTTCCACTTCCAGGTATGACAGAGTAACCAGTACTAGACTTGCCCTTTCACCAAAAACTATACATCAGAAGAAAATATATGAGGCAATGGATTCCAGGCAAGGAGTAGCACAGCAGGAGTATCATCCTTGGCAAAAAGGAAACCCACTGGTTAAGGCCCATGATCGCCCAGCTTTATGCCTTAGGGTTGCTTCATAGCTGCAGAACAGGAGGGTAGAACGCAGGCAGAGTGGCAATCTCACCGAGCTGAGAAAGCTGCTGGACTTCACAGAGCAAGGCAGCTGAGAAGAGGGAGCTATGGAACGAGATTTCTGACATCTGTGTGAGCCCTCACTACAGGTCTCTGGCCAAAGACTGGGTAGCACATGGACAGAAAAATTTCAGTAAGTCCTAACAAAGATCACCTGCTCCAGCAACGGGAGATAGACAGAGACGCCATCTCCTAGTGGTGATGCCAGAGGTCAATGATAACAAACGTTAGAAATCCAACCAATCCAGGGTAGAGAGACCTTACTGAGAGCATTGGCATTTAGCAAGCTATGTCTTACAAATAAGGACTAAGCCCCAGAGAAAGACGGTACATGCTAAGACTAAATTCAAAACTGAAATAGACTTGCTGTAACAGCAAATTATGCCGATCCTGACAAAACTACAAGGATCTGATAATTTGACTGCCTGCTGGAACAAAACTCAGCACCCACTGAAGCAGTGGTTCTCAACCTTCCTTATTCCGCGGCCCTTTCATACAGTTCCTATGGGTCGCAACCCACAGGTTGAAAACCGCTGCAAGGAAGCTGGCATAATCCAGACTCACATACGTGATGTCATCTACAATCACTAACAATAAAATAAACTACCTGGACATGAGAAGAAACAGGCCAAACATAAGATGACCTAAAATAAAGAAAATTAATGGACAAAATTGAAAGAATAGGCAAGTCTAAATCTTATTTGGAAATGTGAACACCCCTCCCCCAGTAAGTGATTAAGCAAGCAGATAAAGAGTTAGTAAGGATGTAGATATCTGAACAACACTATTAAGGCACTTCTTCTAATTGACTTTTATAGACCACTAAATCTAACAACTACAAAATGCATTCTCTTTCCAGGTACACATGAAATGTCCATCAAGATAGATCATATGAAAAAAAAGATAGATCCTATGTTGAGTGAATAAACAAGTATCAATTATAACTTCAAAGTTCAAAAGCATACAAAATATGTTCTCCTACCATTTAATTAGAAATCAGATGAGATATTTGAAAAATCCCCAAATATACTGAATTAAATAGCTCATTTATAAATAACACATGGCACAAAGAACAAGTCAAAGTAAAGTTAGAAAATACGTCCAACTAACTGATAATGAAAACACAACATACCAAAATTTGTGGTACGCAGCTAAAGCAGAGCTTAGAAGGAACTCTATATTAAAAAAAAAAACAAACTTATCTATAAAATGAAAGAAGGTTAAAGTCA